TGTTTCTCCGTGCGCCTCCGGGCAAAGGCGCAAAGGACAGAGGCGCCCTGGGGGTGGAGAGTTGCAGGAAAGATGCTGCGTATCTGAACTGCTGAGAAGAGTTAGAGTGGGCATCACGCACCTCCTGGTCCTCTCTCCTCCGACAGCTGGTAGCCGCGGTTGTGCGGAGGGAGCTGTGCTCCCTGGACCAAGTGAAGCTCACTCTCCGGCCTACTTCCCCTGGATGCTCAGCAGGCGCTCAGAAATTATTAGCTGGAGGAATGAGCCTCAACGAAAGAGCCCATCGGAGTTTCACTAGGACCCGGTCCCCATCATGAAGCCACCCGTTTTCTGCAGGAGGAAACCGACGCTCAGAGTGGGAAGGCCAATGTTAATTCCGAAGCTGGTGAGCCAGGGTGCCGAAACTCAAACCAGAGTTCACTTATTTTACGTTAAGGATGCTTCCTCGATGGCCTTAGATTCTACAAGGCAAACAAGGGAGATTGTAGGAGGAGCCTTGCCTATCCCCTCTGCTCCTTTTCTTCTAGGCAAACTCTTAGAAGAAGCCAGAGAAAAACAGAACCAGCAATTAAGAGGTTAAAACACTCCGCACCCCGGAGGTCCCCGGCCTGAGGCACCTCCCCCACCTAACTTCTCTGCTCCCTCAACATCTGTCCCCCAACAGCTGGGCTGCTCTCTGCGAGGGTGGGGGGTCGCTTCCCAGCTCTGAGCCTCCCGGGCACCCTCGCCCTGAAGGAGGGGGCAGGGTTCTCCAGTCGGAGCTTGGGTTCTAGGCAGAAGGCAGGCGAAGGCTGGGGTCTTGCCCTAAGTCCACTGGGCCAGGGGACAGGAACTCCAGGGGGAAGCCTCAGTGGCCCAGCCCAGGGCACTCTCTGAAGTTTGCCCACAGACTCCGGGAGCACACTTAACTCTTTACTCCCCACTCCCATGGTCAGGAGGCCAGAGGGCCAGGGACCATGGGGACCGGATCCTGGCAAAGTCGATCCATTCGGGGCCTCTGAAGGAGGCCACTCCTGCCCCAGTGCTCCCAGAGCCCACCCAGGGAGTCTCACATCACAGCACCCAGCAGGCGCTCCCTGTGTGAAGGCAAATGAACTGGACAAGGACTCTTAGGGTCAGCAGAGAAGGGTCTTTGCTATTCCACAGGCCCCACCTCCTCGTAGAGAGAGGCTGCTGACATATCTGACCAATAGAAGAAGCGAAGTGTATTGAATGTTTAGACACAGGGATGGTGGAGTCAGGCAGCCCTGGGTCTTCTCAAGGGTCTGCCACTTACTAACTGTGACTTCACCTTGACGGGCCTCAGTTTCCCCGCCTATAATGTGAGGAATATGAAAGTATCATAATCACAGGGTGGACCTGAGGATCCAATGGGATAACGCATATAAAGAGTTCCTGGCTTCGTGATGAGCTCCATACCTTCCACCGATGACCAGTGTCCCCACCCATGCCCAGCCCCTTTTCCACTCTCTGTCTCACTGTGTGACCCTGGGTTCTTCACCTGCCACTCTCTCAGGATATCTGTCTCTCCAACTATGCAATGGGCATGATGCTTCAGGAGGCTGAGGGAGCCAGGAGAGCACTGTAGATCAGCCCATGACCCATGTGGGGGGCAGCAGCTACAGGTAGGTCGATGGGAGGAAGCTGCCTACAAAGGTTGATATGAATGATACCCCAGAGAGGAACACTGTTTTTTTTCCTTTACTTCTTCAAAGAAAATGGAAGGAAACAAATGGTCTTAACAACAACAAAAATTTGAAGAAATTAAAAGCAATATCATATTTCCCTGGTGGTAACTTTTTTCTGCTAGGACTCAGGGAGGGTGGGGAGCTGGGAATCTGCTAGAACCCCCAAGGGCTGTTGAGGTCCCTATTAAAGAGGGACTTGGAGAAGCTGGGACAGAGAGGTCCAGCAACCTGTTATCAAGGGCAAACAGCCAGTGGAAAACCAACCCCTCCCAACAATGCAAATGAGCCAGGGACAGCACTAGACCTCCAACCTCCCTCCACCGCTCCCCACCTCCCTCTGCAGCTTCTCTTGGTGACTTTGGAGTGCCCTTCTAGCTTCTAACTTCCGGTTCTGCTTAAGGAGACTGAAGGATGGTCTACAAGGAGGGGCGAGATGGGGGATGGAACCTAGAAGACCCTTCAGTGGGGGATAAGACCCCAGTGCTCTCTCCCCCTCCATTCTGATGAGGGTATTGACCTCTCTTGGGCAGAGTGCTCCAGTCCACCTTGGGCTTCAGGAAACAGAGGACTAGAGAATCTCAGAGCATGGTCTCTTCCTGAGCCCCAGCTCTTGAGAGGAGCTCTCTGCCTCCCATGCCATCATTCATGCTCTCTCCAGAAAGACCTCCCTTACAGCAGCCACCCAGCGTCTGGGCTGCTGCTCAGAGCAGGCACTAGTCCCCTCCTGGCACTCTGCCGGCTTTTCCTTTCCCTTTTTGTGGGTTTCATTATTTTTCTTACAGGTGGGGCTGCCAGGGAAGGGTTATGCCTGCAGGGAGACCTGGCTGGGGGAGAAATGATCAGAAGAGCCACAATTCTCCCCTCCTCCCAGGGAATGTGAGCTTTTATTCACTCCATTTTCTTAACCAAAATCTGTTTTAGTTTTGCTTTGGGGACCCTTGTCACTGGAAAAGGATTATCGCTTAGAACCTTCAGCCCAGAAATGGCCCAGCCCCATCCCTCCAGGCAGGCCTTGCTACTCAAACTGCCTGAGGAAACGACATTAGGGGATTGTGCCCAGCATCCATCCAGCTAGAGTGGCAATGGTAATAATCAAGACACCTACAGCACTTGCCATCTACGGAGCCTCTACTGAGCCTTCCTCCTTTTACTCCCTCTTTGGCAGCTTTGAGAGACAGCCCTGGAAGTAGGACACTGAGGGCAGAGAGATGCAGTGATTTCTCCAAGGTCACACAGTGATTCAATGTTGTCCTGATGGAGCTCAGTCTCTGGTTCTCCCCAAAATAGCTGCACATTCCACACTCTAAGTCACCAAAGTAGGAAGGGGGATTCCAGAGCCAGTGGAGGCTCTGAATGGTGGGGTCAGGATCTGAGTTTTGACCAGCCCTAGAAGGTCTAGTAAGCATAGCATTTGAGGAGGCTTGGTCCAGCCTGGGCATGAGCTGGGGCTGGAGAAGCAGCAAGGAAATGTGGGCAGGTGGCTCATAGGGCTGCTAGGTCTGTTATCACCAGGAGAGCCAGGGTTAGGGTCCAGTCCTGCCTTGCTCTACAGGAGGAGGCTGAGATATCATCCTGTTGGATTTCCCAAGCTGGAGCTCTGTCCCTGGCTAGCTGATGAGCCCAAGGAGCGCCCCCGCCCAATGGCAGCTGAACTGGAGTCAGGCCTAGAACCAGGAGGTATCTAGACAAGGACTCTAACATCCATTTCCTGCCTTGGCCAGCCAATAGCAGATCGGATAGTCCAGGGAAACATCACACTCTGGTTGCATACCACACAATAACTCTGCTCTGCCATACACATACACAGCAGTCCACACTCACAAATCCACATTCACATCTCTTGAGTCCTCAGTGCCTGGGTGAAGGCCTTAAGCAGAAACGCCCCCTCAGAGGAGGAGGGGGTAGGGTGAGGAATCACAGGATTTCTGAAGCCTCACCCTCTCACCTCTGGATCCCTGTCCATATGTAACCTTGACCTGACCTTCTTGTGCACTGGCATTCACACATAGACACTCACACATAGACACACACTCTTACACGTGAACCAAAAGACAAATGCATGTCATAAAGGAACACATATGCTGTCCACACATCCCTGACCTTGCTTAATGACACATTCCCTCGGTGCCACGACACAGATCCAAACAAGACACACACACACACACACACACACACACACACACACACACACAGTTTTGCAAGCTGACCCCTAGGCCACCTTGTAGACCCCACACACCTGCACACCCTGGCTGTACACCCTTTCACACCCATACTCAAAAAAAGAGTCCAGTTCTTGAGCCATGCTTCCGATGGTTTTTCCAGAGTATCCCAGTCCAAAATGCTGCAAACTTCCCCCTAGATTCAAGGTCCTCTCTTTCCAAGTCCCAGAAGACTCAAAGTGGGGTGAGAGGGGTTGCATTGACTTCCACCGCATTCCCTGACTCCCAAGAAGACTGAAATCGTGGCCTCTCCCGAAGAGAGGACCGAAGGGAGGTCACTGGAGGTGGTGGTGGGGTTTATAGGAGGGTAGTTTTCTCTTCTTCCTGAGAAAGCCCCTGGGAACAGACATCCCCTCCCTGGAACTAATCACACTCCACCCTCTTAGGACTCTATAGGCCCGGTGATCCGGCATCAGGCCTGGTTCACGCTTCCCACGGAGATCCTGCGGGTGGCCGCTGAGCCCTGACCTCGCAGTGAACTTGACCCCATGGCCGGGTCAGGCAGGAGCTTCTAGGTTTGGAGCAAGGGGTGCGCCAGCAGCCGCGACGGAAGGACGAGCTCCGCTGGAGTCGCCAGTCCGCCGGACTCGGCCTGCCTCCAGGAGAGCGCACCCCGGGGTAATGCTGCCGGGCTACAGCGCCCTACACTCCCCCTTCCTGTCCTGGCAGCCCAAAGTCGGCCTAGACCCGGGACAGGCTGAAACGATGACGAAGCTGGGACTGAAACAGCCGCCTGGGACCCAATCAGGACCCCAGACATTAGAGCGACGCCAGGGTCTAAGTTGCGGCGGAACTGGAGACCGAGGTTGGGTCTTAGGAAGAGGTGCTTGAATATGGGTTCGATCTGAGACCGGAACCCAGCGCGGAGCCGGGGTCAGAAACAGGCAAGCCTGGAGCCCAGCTCAGGGTCCCGCTCTGGGAGCGACGCCGGCGTGGCTGGAGTCGGAGTAGGGTTGGAACCCAGGCCAGAGCGCACTGGAGAGGCAGCCAGATCAGGGCTAGGATCCGAGCGGGTTGGGGCCAGAGCCGGGACATCAGAACTCAACCGAGGCGCTGGAAGTGGGAACTGGAGCCTGAGATTCAGGCAGGACCGGAGACAGAGCCAGACACGCGACGGAAACCGAGTGGGCCGCAGGAACAGGAGGCGGATCTCGGGCCAGACCGGTGCTGGCACCGGCGCGAAGCCTGGAGCTCCCCGTTTGTGGCGTTGAGAGCCGGCGGGGTTTGCGCGGCGCCCCGAGAGTGCACTCCGGGCTCAGGGGCTCCGGAGCCAGACACCACGCGCCGCATAGAAGGCTTCCCTGTGCGCCTGGCCTGCCTGCAGCGACACTGCCCGCCCGGCGGCCGCAGCCTACCTGAAGTAGTCCATCTTGCAGAAGATCTCCTTGTTCTTGATGTAGCAGCTGTTCTGCTGTCGCAGCGACGTGCGGCACACGGAGCACTCGAGGCACCGCACGTGCCAGATGAGGTTGTTGACCTGGGGAGGGGGTAGAGCGGGGGCGGCTCAGCGCGGGCCTCTTTGCACACCAGACCCCAGCCACCCTGCAGACAGAGACGCTGGGGCTCTGACGGTGCCCGTAACCTCCCCCACTTTCCTTCTGTAACACGGAGGCTCAGGGAGGTAGAAACAGACTCTTCCCGTGTTTCAGACGGGACCCCGGGGGGCGCAGAGAGACACGAAGACCAGCTCAAAGCTCCAGGGTCCGGCAGGGCTGGGCCAGTACTCCTGATTACGCGCAGCTTCTGGACTGCACCCCACACCCCGCCGCATACCCGCAACACCGCGCCCTGGTTTCACCTTGAGCAGATACCGGTCCAGGATCTCCAGGCCGCAGCTGGAGCAGATGTTCTTGCCGGCGGACGGCACGGAAGAGGCGGCAGAGGGCGGTGAGCAGACCGACGGCGTGCTGGGTGTACAGGGGGAGGCCCGACCCTCGTCCTTGTCCAGAGCGCCTGCCAGGGCGTCGGCGTCCGACTGAGCCTGCGGTGGGGGGAGAGGGAGAGCCGATCGCTGAGCCCGGGGCCCAGCGCTGCAGTTGCTTCCAGGACACACCTGGGCCCCCAGTGCACCAGTCGACAACGAAATTCCCCTCCAGACGCCGGGCCCCGGGCTAGGGAACTGGGATGGAGGAGCCTATTGGAGAGGAAGGGACGGGTTCGGCTATTCACACGCGCGTCCTGGGGGTCGGGAGCGGTCAGAGCCCATATTCTCGGTTGGGAAACTGAGGCTCAGAGAGGGGGCGGCGCCCTCAGGGATTCCCCCCGGCGCAAGAGCAGCGGTTTGCGGCCGGAAAGCCGGGCCAGGTCTCGAGGGCCGGACCGCGGACCGAAGGCAGG